TGTACTGAGTGAAATGTGAAATCATCAAAGACACAACATTTTGGGAATGAGGCACATGAAAAAAAAAAGAGAGAAGCAGAAACATCACTAATCAGTTAAATTAATACATAGAATGAGTAAGAATGCCTTCTCTGAACCTGTGGTCAGGATAGGAATCTGATCATTGATAAATACAAAACAAAGTTAGCCAAATTCTGTGTCAGCCAAATCTGTGTTAAGCCTTGCTGATCAAAGCACATTACAGATTTGATTTGTATGTTACGTGAGTGTCAGCACTACTTTGTGGTCTTACTGCAAAGACATGATCCGCATATGCAATGACACCTATCCCGCTGCGGCGGCTGTTCATGGGACTGATCATCGTCCACTGGTTGCTCTCTGGGTTGTAATATTCAGCTGTCTGCAGACACTCGTTGCCATTGAGTCCACCACAAATGTAAATCTGAAAACAAAAAAGGGACATTAAAATTTTTACATTTCTTAGATTTCAGTTGGAAACAATGTTACCTGTAAGTGAAATGTTTCCACATCATTTGTGAAGTAAGACCGATACTCAGTACCCAAGTGTCCAACTGAAAAATATGACAATTAACAAATGTGTGTGTTTTACAATTTTTTTAATATCTGTTATATTTTAGTTGACAAGTCAACTCAAATAAAGTACTGTACATAAATGCAAAGATGCACTTGTGATCAGTTAGAAACAAAATAGATATATATTAGTATATTTTTCAACTTTTTAAACTATACTTTTAAATTTGAAAACATGAACATAGAAACCAGTTTGTGACCTATCTTGCACCTCGCTTCACTGTAAAAATGTGTATTCCCTGACTGGTTGGCAAGTGGTTGCTGGAGGTTGATGGCTGTCACTACTGTGAAATTGTAACCAGGAAGGTTTTGCACCACAAGCCTCCTTGTGTTTCCTTTGGTTGTAAGCAGACTGTTGAGGTTTGCATGGAGTACTCTGACTTACTGCAAATACTCAAACTATTTGCTGTAGAAATCTGTAGAGTCTTTCATACAACCACTGCCTAACCAGCTGAGGAGTACACATTTTCCCCTAGCAACTGGTTGTTACCAAAGGTTGCTGACAGGTCTCTAGGCCTGTGTGCCTTAGACCCTACTCTATTTCTCTGCTACTGTTTTACTTCACCCACCCGGTTGTTAAGTGTTGTGCAGCTGGCGTGGCTCCTCTGTTCGTGCATCGGTGCAATAAGACTCCACTGGTTGATTTCAGGTTGATAGCGCTCTGCACTGCTGAGTCGTACATGCCCGTCGTGGCCTCCCAGGGCATAGATGAACCCGTTCAACACAGTCACGCTCACATAGCAGCGGCGGGAGTGCATGGGCGCCACCTCATTCCAGGCGTGAGTGGTCAGGTCAAACCTACGGACGCTGTTGAAATGCTCCACCCCGTCGAAGCCACCAACGGAGTAGACGTACCCGTTGAGGAAGGCGGCTCCATGATAAGCACGAGGACACTCGAGGTTGTTCGTTACGTTGACCCAGCGGTTAGCCCGGCAATCGTAGGCCTCGATGCCGTTAGTTGGCTCACCACCACTCCACCCCCCAATGGCCAGCAGGATGGAATGAGGCAGGCGGGGACGAGCAAGAGGGTGATACAAGGCAGACATGAAGGGTCTGCTTCCTAGATCATGTATGTCTAAGATGGCATTACTTATCATGGACAGGCACTCAGAATTGGCCTCCACCAGCTCACTAGACAGCACATTGTCCTTTAGGTAGTCTGACGTCATCAATCCCAGTCGGACCTATAGAGAGATGACAGAAGAGAATGTGACTATGAATTTCAACTACATCAGTTTAAGTAAACTTAAAGCTTCTTTAGGATAATGCTCCTAATGTTGTTTAATTTTCTTATTGCTAGCAAGAGAGCGACCAAAGTCAGACACCATTAGCCTTTTCGTCAACAGGGACAGTTTTTAGTCATAGCCCTAGCAACTATACTTAATAAATATAATTTATTCTATAGTATGTGTGTAGAGATCTGATACGGTTTTAATGCTCTTGAAGAGAATTTCTTAAATGTGGTTTGGCTACACCTGAAAAGAGCAACATCTCAAGATATTAAAGCATCCTTATACCCAGATGGATCGACTCAATCTATGACTTAAATGCTGAAGATTTAAGTCCAAACTAAATGTAGTAATGAAAGTTTATAGACCTTGGACAACAGAGCGGTGAGGTGTTGTTTCCGTTGTACAGGTACATGGCTAATCCACTTTGTAAGCGCTTCATACAAAGTGGTCTCCCACACATTGAGGTCCTCTCTATCAAGGATGTCAGCAAGTTCCTCCACAGTTAGGTGCAGGAACTCCTCCTCAAGAACAACCTGCTCAAAGTTACTGATGATGTAGTGGTAGGTCTTGGTGCGTAGTTCGGGTGATAAGCATACTTTTGTGAACTGCCAAATGCCAACGCAGTTCTCTGGGCACAGTTGCTCCCCGAGGAAGTCAGAGCAGAGTTTCACAATGTCCATTGCATTGAATTGATCAGCTGCCATGAGAAGTTCCACTACATTTTCCCCCGTTATGGAAACTGAGCCGGTGTATGCAAAGTTAATGATGAGTGCCATCATCTCAGAAGACAAGCCAGGTATGTTGAAGACCTGTTTGTCTGGGTCGCTGCAGTGGGTGAAAAGAGCCCTGAGGGTAGAGATGGAGACAGAGTAGAGAATATTAAAAGGTGTGGAGGCAACAAGATAATAAACTATGTCATGCACAAGTACTCCAAGTAACTCCAAAACAGAGTTTGTACATGTTTAGTGCACTTGATTGTTGGGTTTTCAATGTCTTTATTACATTGGCAGCATGTTTATGAAGCTATTGCCAAACACAATGCAGTCCCACACCATGACAGAGCCTCCACCGTGCTTTAAAGTTAACTCTAAACACTCACTGTTGTACCTCTATGACAAATATTGAAATCAACTCCATAGGGCCAGTTTACCCTGATATTTAGTCTAGTTATTGCGTAATTTGGCATACCTCAGTCTGTTTCCTTTCCTTATGGAAGTTCCAGTGCATGTTGCTTAATTACAGTCTCTGTTTCCCTTCCACAACCATTTCTTTTCTTTTTTTTTCTTAACATTTATTTATTGGTTTTAACAGGTTTTACATGAACCATGAAACCATTTCTGATGAGGATGAGGAAACCATTCCTCTGAAAATGATCGGGTACAAGCACTGGACTAAAAAGGGTGAAAAATGTCCAAACGAAACCTTTATAAGTCTTCAAAAAAACACAGAACTATTGCTCAAGTGGACTTTTAAAGAATCATCTGTTTCAAAGCAAAATATAAAAAAATGAGAGGCAACTCAAAACTTTTGCTCAGCGTATAACTGTATAACACAGTTCAACCTTTTTAGTATCAGGAAGTCTGGTGTGTCTTACTGTCTCAATAACAGTGGGGAAGATATTAATGTAACTTAATAAAACACTTCAATTAGACTTCACACAATCACCAAGTGATTCACAGTGCTTTTTAAATGGCACATTTACTGAAGTGGAATCTGGAGCTCTGTGAAGGTAATGATGAAATCTGCAAATGTTTGCATTATGTTTTGGGTGTATCTGTCAGTTGACCGTGACAAAGTCTTTCTATCAGAAAAGTTTTATGATTCAACCTGTTCCTTTTGGTTGGCACTGTTTCACCAACTAAGACCATGAATTACATTTTTCACAGGTATAAATCAGTCAACTGTCCTTCACATTATCAGGTAAGCAACTCACCTGAAGTACGGCGTACAGTTACATAGGATGATCCTGTGGACCGGAAATTCAACATCCTCCACTTTGATGATTGCATCACAAAATTGTCCCTCCAAACAGAGTTCATTATTTACTGAGCTCGACTTGTATGGCAGCTGGCCTTCTTCACTCATCTTGAGTTTTGTGACTGCTTTTCTTAGTTTTTTTGTCTGCAGTTTGTCTTGAAGTGTTCAAAATCAAACCTAACTGTGGAATTTGGGGAATGGAGCCCATGACATCATCATGACTTGGCAACTGTTGCCATGAATTGTTTTGAAATGTATATTTACATTGCATAAAAAAAAAAGCTTTGTTTTGATTTGATTTGGATTTAAGAAATTGCATATGAGCCTCACAGATAGCATACAGCATTTTGTATGTTTGCCTCACAGAGGTCACCTAGTAAAATAAGCACTTCAAAACACTCTTACGAATGGACTACAATATCATATTTAGCTCATATTTAACCTTAATAGGCCATTTTGTTTAATAAAATCACTTTGTAATATCCAAACACAGATATTACAAAGTGTGATTCATGGCTAAGCTGTTTTCTTGGGTTGTATTAGACTTTTATCTAGTTGGAAAAATGGGCTCCTGCACTTTACTGATGTACAATAGTGAAGGAAATCTCTGTCCGTAGATAGAGCTTTTCCTCCTAAGGCATGGGCACCAATAAGCAGAGTTCATCCTTTAACATATAACAAAATTAAAATATTCTCATGCATGATCAACGGGCAATCACGGTACCGGCCGGAGTACCGGGAGCAGTTCAGAAGAACAAGAAGACACGGAGACCGTTCTAGGTGTCATTCCAAACTGACTCAGAGGTTTATTTATCATACAACAGCTTATATAGAGGAAAAAAAAGGTTCGTGTGTCAGCAAGTTCCGGTACAGACCAAATAAGGAAACGTCTTCCTGCCTTGTGAGCAAAGAAGTATCCTGTGTGTAGTTTATCAGTTCAGCTACAATTTATGATCATCCCAGCAAAATACACTCCTAGACATAGAATACAGAGTTCTTTCATTAGTGAATTCTGAAACAAACCACCTGGCCTTTAACGAGCCTTTTTCTAAGAGATAAAGAAAAAGGGAGGATGGGAGTAAGGAAGTGGTCTCGTCTCTGTGGTGTTTTCGACCTTGGGGTACCAGCCTGTGAGTCTTACACATCAATTCTTGGGTCAGAGAGAAAGAGAAAAACAACTATTAAATGGGCCTTATTGAGTAACTCTTTTCTGTATAATATCACAATAAAGCAATATCCTGTAAATGCTACCATGGTATCAAAATATCACAACAGTTCCCTCCTTTTATCATGAAATGATAACATAGTATAAAGACAGAATCTAATAACATAATCTAAGACAAATCATAAACTTAAAACAAATCATAAATGTAACTAGTCCTTCGAGTAAGCTTAATATCAAAAATTCTGAGAGCGTATACATGGTATCACACAACAGACAATAATCGTCGAAAACATGCTGCAACGGTTACAAAGGCTACAATTAGTTCCTTCCATCTTCCAAAAGTGTCCTGTAGCCACTTATGTAGCCACTGACCGTGACCTGCATTGGCAATTAGTTCTATCTTCAATGCTTCAAGTCTATTCATAGCTTGTGTGAATGAACCGTTAGGAGCGGTATTATTGGGAATGAAAGTACAGCATACATCAACGGTCACTAGACCACAGGTACCGGTCCAATTAACAGGTAAAGCTAATCTAAGGGTATTATTGCACATCCAATAAGCATGTGGGATTGGTCTAGTTAGGCGCGTGACCATGTGTGATTTAACTAACTCCCCCCAGTCAGTGTCATTTAATACACCCTCTGGGGGAACAATGATCGATTCTCCGCTCGAACTTGAACTGTGTGTGTGTTCCTCCAGATATGATACAACTTCAGCCACAGAGACAGCTAGCCATGTCTCATTACAGCGTGCACCTGGGGAGTCAGAGAAAAATGTATAGTTATCCTTTGTATAATCTATGTGTGTGTCTGGGCCAGTTAACTTTAGTCTGCGCAGACATATCATACTAGTATTAAAATGGAGAGGGATCTGTCCTAAGGGCAGTGAGGGTTTTAACCTATTCTTGGGGCGTTTCATTGGGGCGCAGGTCCCTGCGGTGTCATTAGATAACTTCAATAATTCGCCTAATGGAGTCTCAGGGTTAGTTGGTGTGTGTGTGTGTCTAAGTAGGCAGTCGAGAGGGCTCAGAGTCAACTGTAAAGTGTCTTTAAGGAGAGCATTATCTCCGCCGATTTTCTCTAGTCCCTCAGTGAGGGGGAAACCGGATATGGGGTATCCTACTATAACCTGTTCTGGATTAGCCTTTGAACAGACATAACAGTTACTGTTTCCTAAATCACGAGCGGCTGTTCTGGCATTTTCATACCAGGCGTTAGCTCCTGCTCTATGGGGTGCATAAAATCGTTCATTAGTGGCGTCTATGTTGTCATTTACTGATTTCAGGGAGCGTGAGGAGTGCATTAAGTAGGTGTCTTGCAAAATAGAGCATGAGGTATCGTCAGCAAAATATGACCTGCAGAAATATGAACATGGTTGCAGTTTTCAATACAAAATAGCAAAGAAAAATCCTAAGGTTAATGCGATAGATATGATAGATAACCTAAATATATAAGAAAAACAGTTCTTCAGTCGTCTTCTGGCCTGGTCCCAGGTTCGAGAGACATAGAATAAGCGTCGTGTGATGACAATGGGCATTTCATTTTCTCCATTATCAGGATGGAATGAGTCTAGCTTTATCAGGTTAGACATCATGTGGTACTTCCGGCTTTCTGTTCCTGCTGGATGTTTGAGTACCTTGTTGTTGTTCAGGTGAAGCATCAAAGAGCTCTCTGAGTCTTGGCTCTTTCAGGCGTTGTGTGTTAATCAGTGATTGTGTGTGTGTATGTACATTGGATCCTGGCGCTGGCTCGCCGGAGATGTCGTCTACTTGATCCGACGCCTGAGATGGTCCGATTGGGCTGGTCTTAACCCTGCTGGCATGAATCCACTGAGGTTGTCCGTCTGTGAGGATGCTGGTTCTTCGTCACTGCCAGTACAGTCTGGGGCTGGAAAACGCGCGGCCTCCCAGAGTGTCCTTGGTTTTAGCGACTTCACCAACATGCATCTCCTTGTCTCCACTTGTAGCTGTGGAGGGGAGAGGCTTAGAGAGACAAACTTTCTGATAGTTATTATTCAGTGTTTCTACCAAATTGTGGACAGTGTGTGTGTGACCCCATAAATAACTTCCCCAAACCTGCCAAGAGTTCACCTAAGCAAATAGCACTTACGTCCTACCATAAAACAATAAAACAAGGCACGAACTCCCTCATGCTCCAGAGTGCTCTCTGATACACACAAAGTTTGCAGACTATCAAGGGTCAAACCTTTACCAATCTACAACTAATTATAAACCCTAAGCATATATAGATATTTCTAAGCATAAATGACAATAAACAGTACAAAACCTAACATTCTTTAGTTCAATGACCTTTCACTTATAGGCCATCAAAGCCTCATCTGAGCCTGGATGCACCACTTGCATAGGTTTAATACCTGTTGAATGAATTGTTAATCACACAGATCGCTGCAAAAATCATATAAAACAAATTTTAATGTTAATTCGTTGTTTCATATTAATCCTAGCTCCCTCTCTTTTTGACACCTGGACACTCCCATGTGTCAACTCATCAAAATCAGATTCCTGTCTTAAAGAAAAAGGTTAACTAGATCATATCCCAGGCAACATCAGGGCATCTCCTCCCCTGGAGCAGCACCACCCTGGACCTATAATCCTGCAATGAAAGATGTTAGTGTGTTTTGCATACATACACACCATCATGGCCTGGAAAGCAAAATCTGGAAGTAAAATCAAACTTCACACTTGTAAACAATTGTATCATAAGGGTAACAAGCATTCAACATCAGCAAAACAAGTGTCATGTGCAGGTTTTCTCAAATCAGTAAACTACAATTATTTCCCTAATTTGCCTCAAACATGGATCATCCCATGTACTCAGTTAACATTAATGTAACCAGTGACTTCTCTTAAGCAAAGTCACTCCACTTACATATTATTATTATTATTATGATTATTATTATGATTATGATTATTATTATTAATATTATGGGCTCAAAGTGGCCAGCAAAGAGCCCACAATAAACTATTCCATAAACACGTAATCTCTTATTTGTTTTACTCATGTCACTTGTCCGCTTCAGCTGAATCTTCTAAACACAGTCTCAGAAAAACAAACATTAGCAACACACATTGACTATCCTGGTGGGCAGGCATCGGCTATCCACATTCCAGAGGTGCCATAAAAAGACCATAAAGTTATCAAACCCTAGCTGTGGAAAGAATGTCAGTCACATGTAAACCCAGAAATCCTATAGTAGAAAAACATTAACTAATCCTCTTATAAACCACATAATCAAACACAAATACAAATGTTAGCGCTTGCGCAGATGTATACAATTTCTCACAGTGATCTCTGAGCAACACAAAATAGGGAATAGCACCCTTAGTAAATGCACAGACAGAGAAAGTGGCATTTCACAGGTTAAATCATCATGCACCCTCGAATGTTGCTGCCATCTTACTGCTCCTGTAACAAAAAACACATATAGATTCATCCACCCTTTGTCCTGTCTAGGTGGAGATTAACTTTGAGTCGTGATCAAGTCTTGTCAGCTTTTACCAGTCGGTCAGTCAGTTTGTTTTTATTTTATTTCCATTCATACATTCATTCATTCTTTGTTTCTTTCTTTGCTGATAGTGGAACATGTCGTCGCATTTTAGTTTCCACTTCCAGCAAAATAACGTCATCTCAAAAAAGAAAAAGAACTTTAGATAGGATTACATCGCTGAATCCATTTTTAGGCTGGGACAGTTATAATAAGTGGTCTTCTCCAAAGCCCAAATTAATGTGGAGAAAACTCACTTGTCACAATTTTCTCGACGACGTGTAGCATTTTTAATTCCCGACGTGCGGATCTGCTTAAAGAAAAGAAAATAGACAACAAAATCAGTGCCTGTTTAAAAGATAAAAATGGAAAATAACAGATTATCAAACAAAACTCTCAGTGCACTGTAAAAGTATCAAAATAAAAAGGCCTTTAAGTCATGACACAAACTCCTCATCAACTTCACAACAGAAGAAGAATCATCAGCTAAATTCACTCCAAATCAACCATCAGCTGCACAACACACAATATAATCCTAATGTCGTATTAGCTATGAGTTTAATCACCAGGTCTGTGCTCTTCACTCATTTAGGTCACAGATCTATTTTATTCAATTTTCACAAAAAAGTTTGTTCTGACGTATTCAAAGTTGTGTATCTAGATACAGAATTCACTCGCACATCAAAGCAGGAAACTCAGTGTTTTAGAGTTTCCACTTAACACACAAACACCAACACATCTCATTCACTCGTGCTAGAATTCAGTCACCTTTCATTAATCTAAAACCAATCAACTAATTTGCATATCAGCTATTAACCCACTAAGTTGACAGGACAACAGGAAAGCATGTTCAAAATGTTATCACAAAAGACAATTTCCCTCATACAGTAAATTACTTATGCTGCATTAATCAAGCAGGAAGCTTCTCCCAATTTACCATTTTAACACTAAATTTATTGCCTGATCACTGATTTATCAAACCAGGATTTTTCTCCCACAAAAGTTAAATTGCTGTCCTGCAACCTACAGAGTCATTTTTTTTTTTTGAATAAATTCGGTTTTGATAACAAGTGTCTGCTAAATTGACACTATTTTAACACTGATGAAAGATAACAAGCTAATTTTCATTGCATGTGTGTGGGGCTGTATATCCAGCAGAGCATGCAATGTGCTATGAGTTTCACTGGTCTTTACATCACACGAGGTGACTTGGACAAGATAATAAACAGACTCACACACTTAAAATGTTGTCTAATCTTCATGAGTTCTCTTGTGTTTGGAGTGTTAGTATGGTTAATGCATGTTTTGTTTTTGTGTGATTTTGTATATGTTCCTATTCTCGCAGTGTTTAAAACTCCGTCTCAATTTTCCACTTAAGCAGTCAGTTTTCTTTTCCCCAGGTTTGCTAACCCAAATTTTAATTACCCACATTTAATAACAAAATTTTTGTTCTCACCACTCCCATTCTATTGTCCTCTGATGCGGTTGCTGAAGTGCTGCTGCTGCTGCTTTCTTGGGAGACTTCTAGCAGGTCCTGCCGGTTTCTTGGCTTTTTGGCCGCGACGGGCGTCTTGGCTTTGGTCTCGGTAGCCTTGTTCATCTTGAAAGATCCGGAGGCCCCTGGTCTGTACCAGAGTGCCGTTCGCCACCAGGCTTTTGAAGGCGGTCTTGACACGGGCTTTGTTCTTGTCCACATCCAGAGCCTGCTTGAGAGCGGCCGCGGACATGCCGTTGCCTTGAAAGCGGCCACGGCTTTCACAATCAGCTCGCCCACGCTGGGGCCGACCCTCGGCTTGGACCTCTGCACAGGGCGTGTTTATGATGGAGCTTTTCCGACCACAGCCGGCACGTTGAGCGCTTTCATGTAGCTATGGTCGCTAGCCACATGCTAGCGGCATGTAGCCTGCCGAGTCACTCAGTCCTTTCTGAACATGTTGACATGCTGCCGCCGCCGAACCTGGCCTCAGATCCAGCAAGCTCAGCGCGCTGATCTCCAAAAAAGAGTCCCGAAAGCCAGAAAGACGTCAAATAAATGTCTCGTTCTGAGAGCTCGAACAAAACTGCTCTTCACGCCGCCATCTTGCTCGCCCCTCCGTGGAATCCATCCAATCAAATAGGAAGATAGGTTTTGCTTTTCTTCTTCTCTGGTGCTTTTTTTAAGTTCGCTTCTGCAGCCTCTGCTCCAATACTGCCGCTGCTGATCAGTTTTTTTTTTCAGGTAAAAGTGAGAGTTTTGAGACAGATCGTGCTATAAATAAGTCAGCCAGAAACTTGGCTTGAACGTTTCCAATTATTGAACTATTGCTTAACAACTATTATTTAAATTTTCGTCCGACCGCTGCATGTGGAAAATTGATTCGGGTCTGCTTTTCACCTGAAAGTGACAAACTAAAGACATGTTCATTATTATCATCACTGCTTAATCAACACACATCTCTCTCTTTTTGTTTGTATTTTTTTTTTTTAATTGGTGGTGATCTGCAGTATCACAGCTCTCACAATCAAAACAATTATTTTTACACAGCGCACAAAAACACCGTGACGTCAGACACACTCACACTCACTCCTTCCTCTACGTAGAGTTTACACACTTGAAAGATGGCACATCTAAGGTTAATTTAATTATTTGCTAGCTTTCTCTGAGTGAGCAACTTCTCACTTTTTAACGTACGTTTCAAGACAACAGGCAACTTCCTGTGTCACTTTTTGGTGAGCAACTTCTCACTTAACGAGCAACTTCTCGCTTAACGAGCAACTTCTCGCAAAACAACAGGCAACTTCCTGTGTCTTTCTGCTTTTAATTTACTGCTTTTAACCCTTGTATGGTAATCGGGTCTGTGAGACCCGTGTTCAGTTTTCTTTTCTTTCGTTTTTTTTTTTTTTTTTTTAAAGAAAAGTTAAACAATTAATTATTCTTTCACGTGTAAATGTGTTGTGTCTTTCCACTTGATTATAACTGATTTATTCATAACATTTTATATAAAAGAAAAACGAGAAGCACATTAATTCATAGTAATTTAACATAAAATTGTTTGATAGTGTTAATTTGGAAAGCCACAACTCTAGCGGGTCCACCAACACCACACAAGGGTTAATTTACTTTATTCGGGGACTGAGGAAGTCGTCAGTGTATCTCTCTGGATCACTAAGTGAAACTTCGTCAGCATATCCCGTTTTTTTTTATGGATCGATCACTGAGAGAGGTATAATACGGTCCCTATATAAATATGAAAGACGCATATTTACCTTCTGTCAGCGGATCCCACTTCTGACACCAAAATTGAAGGAAATCTCTGTCATAGATCGAGTTTCCTCCTAAAGCGTGGGCACCAATAAGCAGAGTTCATCCTTTAACATATAACAAAATTAAAATATTCTCATGCATGATCAACGGGCAATCACGGTACCGGCCGGAGTACCGGGAGCAGTTCAGAAGAACAAGAAGACACGGAGACCGTTCTAGGTGTCATTCCAAACTGACTCAGAGGTTTATTTATCATACAACAGCTTATATAGAGGAAAAAGGTTCGTGTGTCAGCAGATTCTCAGTTCAAACCGGTACAGACCAAATAAGGAAACGTCTTCCTGCCTTGTGAGCAAAGAAGTATCCTTTGTGTAGTTTCTCTCTTCAGCTACAATTTATGATCATCCCAGCAAAATACACTCCTAGACATAGAATACAGAGTTCTTTCATTAGTGAATTCTGAAACAAACCACCTGGCTTTTTAACAAGCTCTTTTCTAAAAGATAAGGAAGGGAGGATGGGAGTAAGGAAGTCGTCTCGTCTCTGTGGTATTTTCGACCTTGGGGTACCAGCCTGTGATTCTTACACATCAATTCTTGGGTCACAGAGAAAGAGAAAAACAACTAGTAAATGGGCCTTATTGAGTAACAGTTTTCACTACAAAGCAATATCCTGTAAATGCTACCGTGGTATCAAAATATCACAACAGTTGCCGTTCAATAGCTGAGCTTAATCTTACAGAGAATGATCAAAGCTCATGTAGAAACAAACAAACAAATGAACAAAAGATTTTCTCCTTCATTTCTGTCAAACAAAGCTGTATGAAACGTTTCCAGCTGTTAGTATCATGGTTGCTAGGAAACCTGGGCTAGACCGTCCCATTTCACAAGCCTCGCACTTCCGGCCTTAGCAGTCTTTAAGTACGCGGCCCTTGAGGATCGTTGAGGCTGCGTACTTTGGCTGCAGACCCTGAATTGGGATACAGCCCTAGTGAGCCTTGCCCCCAGTTAGCTATCGAACTAGTGGGTAACAGACGTCTCCGAAAACGTGTGGTGTCTTGATAAACTGAGCAAATATTTGAGGTTTACACAGCTACATTCTCGCCTGAAAATATTTTAATCGTTTATTTTGTGACCCAGAAAGAATAATAAGAGTAATATTAAAACTAACTAGCTGCCGCCATTGTTGTAAACTGAGCTGCGCTGCGCTATGAATTCTGGGATACAGCTTCTTCTTCTTTGGGGTTTAACGGCAGCTGGCATCCTTGTACATACAGTGCTGCCATCTTCTATTTCAGTCCGTTATTACACTCTTAAATCCTACTACTTATTCCTGCGTCTTTTGTGATGCTTCAAACGAGGCGTCGACTATTAAATCAGTCGTCGACGATTTTGATAGTCGACGTAATCGTGACTAGTCGACTAATCGTGGCAGCCCTAATCTAAAATAATCACCACTACAACATATAGCTTATATTCCACTGGCCCTTAGACAGACCTATTACCTTGGTCTTCAGTGTTATAATCATCCTCTATTCCAATGCCCTCTGTCAGTTCTTTCTGTTTGCGGTAATTCAGCAGGAATTGGTGAATGCTGAGGTCTTCCTGGTCACTGGAGCTCTACCTGGAGCTGGCAGACGTACTGGTACTGCTACAATTGGAAGGAAACCACCTCGCTAAAGGAAAAACAAGACAACAATATCAAAATAGGTTTGATTACAATAAAATAAGTCAGTTAATCAAAATCAGTGTGACACAGACGCTGATTTTTTTGAGAAGAGCCCATTAGTGACATTTAATTCCATATTTTTACCGTGAGGGCTTGTAAAACTGCAAAAACTGCCAACACCTATAGTGCCGCTGTCTAAATATTATTATGAATATGAATTCTACAAGAGAAAACGACTGAGCATTTAAACCATCACAATGTATTAAATGTTTCCAGAGATACTGATAATTTGATAACGAGCAAAGTTAGTTCTCCTCAAAATGCGCCTGACTAAAAGTGGGATCAACCAGTACATATAATATTCATCCTGCTACATTTAGAAAGTGGCAACAACAGTAAACATGAGTAACTCCACCGTGTGTCTATCCGGTCTTTAAGTGATGACGTGATCAATCCTACTTCTGGGCCCAAACTACTCTGCGTTTAATAAGGCTGTTGTGTTTTTAACATGTTTTAATGCTTTGTAACTTGTTCTATTTAATCTCAACAAGCCCCTTACAAAACGTAAGCGATCACTGTCGGCCTCTCTCAGTTTTTATTACAACTATTCATTTTAAAGCTCAGTTTTTAAAACCTTACCATGTAACTATAGCCCAGGCAATGCAGCAGCATATTAATGACTAACCTGTATGTGGATGGATTATCTCAGTTGTTCTCTTGACTGAAGTTTGGTCCGTTTACAGCATCCTGCCATGCCACTGCATTTGTCCCTAACCATCGGGAACCCTCACCTTAACTCTTATCCAGTGGGAAAAAAGTTCCCCTTCATCACTGTGTTAATGTTATGCTAACATAGCTGTTTCGCTAGTCACATAGCACATCACTATATACCAGCTAGCCAAACTTCAGTAACCCTACAAACATCACTGCTGCTTACTTTCCTGTCTTCATGTATGTCAGAAGTGATAGCAGAGCTGTGCCTTTTAATTTGTTTTAGAAATCCCTCAGTCAGAACCTGGTATATTATATTTAGACGGAAACTAGCGAGCTAACTCTCTGCTAACTTCTAACTTCAGACAGATTTTTAACTCTCAGTGATCATTTGACTTTGGGACCTGCAGTGTAGTTTGGGTCCAGACACGCTAATGACCAGACTTAAAGACCAAATTTCGGGTCACTTTTGCTGGTCCCAAGCCCCAATAAAGAAGCTAGCTTGAAGCTTGACATAAAAAACAATAATTGCTAAGAAACGTGTAATTTGTAGTTCTAAATATATTCTAAATGCATTTAGATCGTTTTTACTCACTTTATGTCTCTTCCACGATGTTACGTCTCTCTCCTATGTTGGTTACAATTACATAGGCACTTAGCAGGACAGTGGAAAAACCCAGGGCCACAGTGATACTGAGAATTCCACGGTGTTCACTGTCTTCAGCAACCTTACAAGGGCCGGTTGAACGGCTACAGTCTTATCATACATGTGCAGTGTTTCTACAAGCCATAAGGTTACCTTGAGTAAGGAAGATGATGATTGAATGTCCTCTGAGTCCATAGGTTGAGGTGCAAGCACATTTCTCCCATTCTCCACAGAGGGCAGTGGTGCATAGGTGTGACATCACTAACACTTAAGTTGCTTTTTAGAGTGATAGCAGAAAATTGTGAGCGTTACACTTGTATGCGGCTTGAAGTAGGCACACATTGGCAGGGATGTGGTTGGAACGGCTGACTAGATAAGGCCTGGTGTCCAGCTAATGAAAAAGAGCCGAAAATTGGGGTGCGGCTGCGCAGGTGTGCACTTTAAATATAGCACTTTTGCCCTGTCATTCTGGGCCGCCTGAGTGGCTCATGGGAACGTGACAGGCCCTATGGCAGAGATTGAGGACAGAGGGCAGTGGTTCGAATCCCATGCGGACCATATGTTGAGGACACAAAAAAAAAAAAAAAAAAAAAAAAAAAAAAAAATCCCTGGCTCTGAAATTCACTTGCTACGCTTGCTAGAAGCCTACAGGCGAGCCTACAGAATGGGCTCTCTCTGCCTTTTTTTTTTTTTTTTTTTTACCCCTGTCTCAAAATCTCTTCCTTCAATCAATATTGGTTGTTATGGTTGCTATGGACGCCAAACACACCATGCATTGTCGCTTTCTCAATCTCTTCTTCATGTCCGAACAAATGCTCAATTTTGCCTTCATTAACACAAATTATACATCAAAATGTAGGTATTTTTCTTGCCTTTAACAAAATGGCACTGTCATTATTGTCGGAGTTGCCGTTTCCTCGCAAATGGCCTCGAAGCAACACAGTTAAAAAATGTCCACATTCAAAGTCTATGGAGACTTGAGTGAAAATGACAGCTGAAATTCTGTAACAGAGGCGTTTTCAACTCCTCATATCTCCTAGATGTATTTTTCTTTAGAGACCTGACAACCGCCTTGATTTTTTTTCCTCTTTTTTATTAAAGCCTGCTGATTGTTACAGTGAAAGAATGATGTTGACAGTCCGTGTACTTTTGGAGTTACAGAACATTTTGTAACACGAAGAAACGGCAGTTTTCACCTCTCAGTTGTGGTAAACGCTTGAAATATATTATAGGGCAGGCCGCGGCGTAGAGAACGCGCTTTGGGAGCGAGAGACCCATTTTGAAATCTAGCCAGTGGCAGTATCTAATATCGTTCCCTAATTCACTTTATAATTACAAATTCTCAACACTTTTGATTTACAACTTATCCACATTTCTTTGCGGACACTCCTGCATTGCACAAAGCGCATCTGTGGCTGTGTACCATTCGTGGTGCGTTGGCTCCCTCTACTGGTATGCGCCTCATTCAAATGTCGCCACACATTTAAAATTGCAGGGTGTCTTTACACTGTCATAGCTCCTAGATAGATTTCTTCAGAGACCTGAAAATCGCTGTGATTATTCACCATAGCCTGCTGAGTCTTACAGTGAAAGAACGATGTCAACGTATAGCATCGTTGGTTACTTTAATTATGTTTGGGGTTTTTTTTTAATCAAATCCTCCAAAACAGGACCATTGTGACACAAAACCTCTCACACACTAACACAAACTCTTTATACAGATACAGAGCTTTACATGTATAAATAAGGCAGACAAAAATGCATAAAACACAAGCTATCCACAGACTGTCGGTGGACACCATGTCACTTTATTTTGTTTTTATCTTGTTTCTTTTTGGTGTAGCCTCATTAAACAAAATGTTTATAAAAATGACCACTTTTATTATGAATTATTAGGAAATTAATAATTCATTATTAATTATTTATTATGAACACACCTGCCACCCTCAAGTAGAGGTGGCAGAGAAAGTGTCCGTGTGACTGAGTCCTGTCCCAGCTCTGCTTCAAGGTCTGTCGGTCCAGCTTGTTGAGGGCCTGAGAGCAAAGACGGATATCCTGGACCAGCTCTGACAAACTGTCCAGGTCTTGACTCTCACACACGCACACCTCGCCAAGGTAGCTACACTGCTGTCTGTCAGCCCATTTGCAGCCAGGCTGAGGTGGGTCAGAGAGCACTCGTCCTGCAAAAACACAAAAGTCTTAACCTGATTGCACAATTATATCTTTCGACAATAAATGACATTGCATGATTTTTGCATGCACACCTGTGACAGGACTTTGGCGAGGTGTTCCAGTGCCGGGTAATCAGCAGGCCCTCTGCAGACAGCTGACAGGTCCACGTATGGGAGGCAGTGGAGGGGCAGTGTCTTTAACACCAGCTCAAAGCCAGTGGAGCCTAGGGGATTGAGGGACAGGCACACTGCTTTCAAATGGCCTGTGCCTGAACGTTCAGAAGATGTAAAGTTAGTTGCAGTTTTGCTTATGGGTGGGAGTTCAGTGAAGCTTAAGGCTTCAGTCAGCTGCTTGTTAGAGTCACCTGTGAGCGCGCTGGCTAGCAGCAGTCGATGCTGCTGAAGGAAACGAGCAGTGAGGCCGCAGGCCTGCAGAGACCGCTTGGCTAGCACAGGGCAGCAGGACAGCAGACAGGACAGAGACTCAGACACGCCGTCCCCCAGTGGGTTCATACTGAGGTCCAGCTCCTCCAGGCACTTTGAGTGGAAACGAGCAGAAAAAGCAAATGATCACGAGAGCCAATTCTCTCTGACAGATATCATTGATACGAATCAGGTTAGCTTGTTATTAAGATCTAAGGTAGTTATTAAGACCAGAGGTACTTAAATACAGGTTAGATGGTAAACCTGGAGCTGCCACTATTGGCTAGCTGAGGCCCTTACCGGGAATGCAGGTGCACTCTGTCCCTTTAAAGCATTTACAGCCTTCTCCAGGCCGTCCCTGTAATGCAGTTGGCAGAAATGTCCAGCAGCTGCAGACGAGGCATGTGAGCGTTGTGGCAATCAGCTCAGGGAGAAGGTCGTCAGACATACGGTTTCCAGAAATTCGCAGCTCCGTGAGGCTGGCCTGAAGTTTTAGGGCACGGAGGAGCGGGCCGAGGGAAGAGGCGGCCAAACCGAGACACTTGGAGTCCTGACACGGAGGAACCCCGGTCCCGAACCTCATAGCCGGGAGACACGCTTGTTCTCATCTACAGGTAGAAAGAGATGGTACTTCATAACAGAATACAAAAATGCACTTGTGTGCGTTTTATAATGCATTACCTCTGTGTTGCTCACCCACTGCTAGACTTTGACAGGCCTTCTTGTATCGCTCAGGGAGAGGAGGGAGATCCCCACACTCTCAGAAATAGGGGTACCAAAGTGTACCAAAAAGGGTACAAATGCTTGTCGCTGGGGGTGTTCCTTTTTGAAGGACATTTTTGTACCTTATGAAGTTGTACCATCTGAAGTACAATCATGTACTTTCCTAAGACATAAATGTACCTTGAAACTATAGTACAGAAATGTTCCCTTGAAAAGGGTACAGTAGGGTACCTATGAGGGTACCCCCCCAGCGACAACCTATTTCGTACCTAAAGAGACAAAAATGTACCCCCAATATTCCAAAATATTTGGTTATTTAACCATTTATTCTCGATAATAGAATCACATCAAAGCATTTAAACAACCACAGGAATACATCCTTGATTACTTTCGTATATTGCCATAGGACATGTCAAGAAAAATACATTCATTTAAAAAAAAAAAAGTAAACAATCACATAAAGACATTAAACACCTGAACACAATGGAAAATGTGCTTGCAATCACGTCACACAGAATACCTCAAGGACACAAACAGCCTATCATCTACTAAATACGTGTCTAGAGCTTGAAAGTCTAATTCATTTCCTGGATTGAACAGGATCCAGTCATTGTCAACTGAACTTGGTAAGCATGGAAATGACATTCATAAGTGCAAGGAAGTAACAGTTTCCCACACAATACCCAACAAGTATCAACATTCAAAATATACTTGATTTTAAGGAATATAGGTATGGCTTCAGTGTGTGTATGGCCAACTACAAAAACATCCTCAAGTTCATATTTGACACTGCTGACTAGGGCTGGGCGATATATCGAGTTTTTTAAAAATATCGATATATTTTCATGCGAGATATAAGATGCGACAATATCGTTTATATCGATATAGTCTATGTTACGTTATAATTATACTTGTGGAGCCGCAGGTTTGCCTCTCTTTCGTTCACTTTTGTCTCTACGCTGCGTTACTCGGCCTCGCCTCTCCTTCACTGAACACAACTGCCCCTCCGCCATAGCTTCATCTGCAGGCAATGACAAGATGAAAGCGGAAAATCTCCGTTAGCGAGTTACCGCGGATCGCCCCGTGCGTGGGCTGGACGGCGTCAACGTGTTAGCGAGCTAACCGCGCTAACCGGGCTGCACGGCCTAAAATCCTTTCATTTTCTCAAAACTCGACAGTGCGCCCTATGTATGAATTCTGGTTGTGCTTACTGACCGCGAACCGATTTTATGTGGTACACAGCGCTCAGCAATCTGTCAAAAAATGTTTTAATATGACTTTGCTAAGCTACGGAGCTGCACCGCTTGATGGATTGTCGGATGATTACGGCTACCGAGGAGGAGCCTCGCGGAGTGATACATACTGTGCTTCAACGTAATATTACCGTACTGTGTGTGTATAAGGACCACAAATGGCACCTGTTCAGAGACGTGGTGCAGCTGTGAAATCTGTCTCTTTGTTATTATGCTCAGCGTCTATTAGTTTACATTTTGACTGCACAATTGTGAGCTTTTTGTTATGCACAAAAAGAACATAGTTTTCTTTTATTTATGGACCATGATTATTTAATAAATGCTGAGAATTTATTTTTGAGTAATTTTTTCATGTACATCTACGCTGTATGTAAATAAAAGTGCCCGTGTGACATCTGGAACACAGTGTGACTAAGAACTCTCTTTTTGTTCTTAACTTATGGCTTTAAAAAAAAAACAATTTTGAGATATATATCTTATATCGCCATCCAGCTAAAAAATATCGAGATATGAATTTTGGGTCATATCGCCCAGCCCTACTGCTGACAGATATAGCAGACACACACTGAAGCACTTTATCCTGAAAATGCACATCTGTAAAACTTTTGTTCATTTCCAGAGCATTCTGTAAGTCACCTGGCAGAGATGAAAATGGCACACTGACACTTGTGCTGAGTGAATGTTCAAAGTCAACAAGCAACTTATCTGAAGAAAACTCCCAGCACTGTTTCATTTGATGACGATTGTTAAGAGTTGCAGTGATGTTTACAAAGTTTTTGCATTTACTCGCTAGATTTTTGAAATATTGATGCTTGCTTTCATATCCCATACACCACAAAGGGCGAAGAGGACCATACATCAAAATCAGCCTTGGGTAGTGAATAAGGTAGTGACACTTGGGTGGGGGCATATTTAATAGAGTTGGTTAAGTACCCTGGTGACACTTACTGGCAGGGGTTTGTCTCCCTGGTCTCCTATGTTGACAATGCAGTTCTGAAGAAAGACAAATGTTTTCTTGAAGTATGCAGGGTAGGTCATGTTGAACACGAAGAAGGTGGAGAATGCTGAGATGTAGGCCTCATCCAGCGAGCGGCACGAGCAAACATCCACTCCTTCAACTGTCACAACACAGCGAAACTGTCTTAAGAGGGCAGTTGTCCAACTCTTATCCTTCATTCGAATGGTTGGGTATGGACTCGTGGGAGTATTCTGCAGAAGAGGAAGAAAAACATTAGTATACAGTATGTTTAAGCAATATGTGCCAAGTGGATTTTCAACAGATTCCTCAAATTACCTTCTTTATTTGCAGCAAAACAAAACTGTCTATTCTGATAACCTGTAAACATGGCCCCTACTCCAAACAAAAAGCTTCTTGACCAATGACTGTTGTGGTAGTGTTTGATAAGCTGCTAAAGTTTGACATAATATTCAAGGGCAAAAGCAATCACCCCTGACAGTGACAGTACCTGTGAAGAAGAATTTCCCTAAGGGGACAATAAAGGTTTATCTATCTATATAAACACCAGACAAAACCCAAGAGCACAGCAGCACTGTGGATTAACAGCAGTGTTTCCCCTACATTAGCTTAGCTGTGATGCTGAACCGCAGCTGAATTCAGCTCCATGCCAACAAAACACAGAGAATGAAACTTGTGGCCAAAGGCTATGCATTGCATCATGCATTTACCTCTCCAAGGATGATGAAATCTTCTATCTTCTCCTTGAAGATGGATGGCAAGAGAAGTGCCCCCTTGAAGTCAATTCCTAGGTCATACAGATGCAAATGCACTTCATTAGATTTTGATAGCATGCAAATTCCCATTAACATGCTCTTCACATGACACTATGGTACATCAATTATCTTTGGAAGAGAGAGCAAATGAATTGTCACAAAATTTACTATTTGTATGCGGTCAAATTAGCACCTGTAATGTCTTCAGCCAGTGCATTCTCCCTCCATGTAGACCTTCTTCAGTGGCAAATCCTTGGTCATTTGAAGAACAGCAGTGAAGTTTTTGCTAAAGCGGCGACAGATGTTGTCTTGGCAGGGATGCATTAAATCAACCTCATCACACAACTGGAAATGAAAAGAGCAGAATAGACAAAAGAATGACATTTTACATTGAGGATTTAAACTTTTGACATGTTTAAAGACACAGACTGGAGATAAATGTAAAGTACTTTAACCCTTGATCAAAAAATTCTAAAGCTAATAAACAGATTGATTAATCAGCTAGTACAGAAAATAATAATAATAATCAGATTTAGAGACAAAAAAAAAAATCATTAGCTGTTTCCCCAATCATCTTAACAATTCTTGGGTTGCAGACAGTGTCCCTGCGCAGAGCTTACAGCTCTCAGATTCGAAAATCCCAAATCCCACTAAATAGGTGGAATGGTGCAAATGTGTACCTTCCATTGTTTAAAATCCCTTTGAGCGGGAAACAAGTTAGATGCGATAAATTTTGCTTAGAAAACGTTTTTGTTAATAGCTATATTTACATACAAGCATGTTTTGAGAAATTATTGATTTTTTTACATTGTTGTACAAGGTTAGTGACTATTTATTGATAAAGCACTGGAATACGGCGGGAAGACAGACGTTGACGATTCCACCAACAGTCTAAAATTTAGACTGTTGGTGGAATCGTCAACCAGACAAGATTTTAACCATTTAATTCTAAGGGTGCCAACCATAAATTCCAATTCTGGAGTTTTGATACCACCTTTATTGTATCCCTTCACAAGCTGAGATCTTTCTATGTAATGGGTTTTATTCCTCCACAAAAATTCGAACACATTTCTATTTATGGTTTTCATGGTATTTATCGTTTTTTTATTTCTTATATTGTTTACGTGGCGCAAAAAAGGTTGGGGACTGCTGTACTAGCAGGTTGCTGAGTAGAAATCCTTGTAGTGTTTTGAAATATACCACTTTTTCCATCAGTTTCCTTGTCAGGAAACAACTTCCTGTTCAGCAGAAATGCCTCTGGTTTCAGTGGTGTGTGTGAGAGCGTTCAGTAGTGTGTGAGGCGTTCAGTAGTGTGTGTGAGGTCGTGGTGTGAGAGCGTTTCAGTAGTGTGTGTGAGAGCTAAAATTTCAGTAGTGTGTGTGAGAGCGTTTCAGTAGTGTGTGTGAGAGCTAAAATTTCAGTTGTGTGTGTGAGAGCGTTTCAGTAGTGTGTGTGAGAGCGTTCAGTTGTGTGAGAGCGTTTCAGTAGTGTGTGTGAGAGCTAAAATTTCAGTTGTGTGTGTGAGAGCGTTTCAGTAGTGTGTGTGAGAGCGTTTCAGTAGTGTGTGTGAGAGTGTTTCAGTAGTGTGTGTGAGAGCGTTTCAGTAGTGTGTGTGAGAGCTAAAATTTCAGTAGTGTGTGTGAGAGCGTTTCAGTAGTGTGTGTGAGAGCGTTTCAGTAGTGTGTGTGAGAGCGTTTCAGTAGTGTGTGAGAGCTAAAATTTCAGTAGTGTGTGTGAGAGCGTTTCAGTAATAATGTCCCTTACGGCACCTCATAGCTGACGGCCAGGTTTAAGAGAAAAAACCGAGAGCTAAAAATTGGAGTTAACTCGCTGACTAGCTTGTCAGTTTTACTACACTTCGCGCCGCTGTTTGCGCATGCGCAGCGACCTAAGCGTCAGAAAAAATCTGATGTCATCTGACTGGCTTCCCTGTATCAATCAAGTGACGGGATGGATGATAGGCTGGCATCTATTTTTTTAATGCCATGCGATCTACCAATACTACCTTTGCGATCGACGTATTGAGCACCCCTGGTCTAAATAGTCCACATTTGTACCTTTCTTTGTTTAAAACTTAGCTAACTGCTAGCATTCACCCATGTTAAAGCTAGCTCTTCGGACTTTTGCTAACTCTACTGTAAAATTACACGTTGTAATTTTTATAACAACACAAAATCACACCCGACTTACCTCTAAACCTTTGCGCCTCGTCGTCTGACACATCAATGCCTTCTTCCATCAACTTTATAAGGAGCTCCTCCATTGATAACCCCCTGAGAGTCATTTTCTGCGTCAACGCTAGTCAGCGCGGAGGCGGAGCACTCACCGCTGCTGGCTTTTCAGCCTTTGGGATTAATGCGCGTTGCGAACTTGATACATGGAAATACAACATTGTGGTATTAATGCGCAGTTGTTTAGAAACCGTTATGCTGTCTTGGCGAACTATATTTGTAACTTACAAAGTGTAGTCACCGTAACATAAACATCTGCTTGACATTTTAACTTCCAAAGAACCTCGGTTTAACTTGATGTTGCAAATTCCATAAAAACCTCCCAATTAATGAACAATTCTAGGATGTAGTAAAAGCGAAAAAGTAAATGGCCAAACATAACAGTAATATGATTTCACGTTTTTGAAGGCTACAACCAAGATTTAAAACATTAAAAATTATAACTGGAACTCCAGCGAGTAGTGCGGTGCTCTGAACGGATAATTGGAGGTGAGCTTCCCTCCCTCCAAGACATCTACAGGAAGCGGTGCCTGAGGAAAGCGGGGAGGATCATCAAGGACTCCAGTCACCCCAGCCATAAACTGTTCAGACTGCTTCCATCAGGAAGGAGGTTCTGCAGCATCCGGTCCCGTACCAGCAGACTGAGAGACAGCTTTTTCCATCAGGCCATCAGACTGCTGAACACGTCATAGACACCTCAGCTTCACTACTGGAACTTCAACATTATGCACTCCACACTGTATATAAATGCCACTTGTTTTGCACATATTCAACTCTGTATATTTTATATATTTTATTATTATTATTATTATTATTTTATTTTATTTTTTTACTATTTAATTTGTAAAAATGTGTATACACACACACACACACACACACACACACACACACACACACGTAGGAAAATATTTAGTATACACATCCAGAAATGCATACACTATTATATATTGTACATATATTTATTAGTTTCAGGTTGGCCATTCTTGTATTTTGCTCGTTTGTGTTGTTGTGTTTGCACATCTCTGTTGCTTGTGGGGCTCGCACACAAGAATTTCACTCGCATGTGCTGTGCCAGTGTGCCTGCACATGTGATGTGACAATAAAAAGTGATTTGATTTGTGATTTGATTTGATTTAATAAAATGGAAATGGACCAGTTTTTTTTAACATCATTTGGTTGTGCCTGCATGTCATTGTGTGTTTTTTTTTAAATATAATTTAACATAACTTACACAAAGGTAGGTTATAGATATTCTTTGCATCATAGGATAATTTACGTACAGAGGAGAGGACCAACAGATTTGATTATAACATGTAGCTTTTATGAGCACACTCACATCTCATATGAATTTTACAATTAACCAGGCCCATCCAGATTTTCCCATGCTGACCCATTACCACATTCTGCCACTGTCACTGCAGTACAGGTCAAAATGGTACAGATTTGTACTTTAAATTGTACCTTTAAAGGGGCATTTCTGGACTTTTAAAGGCCAGTATTGTACTTTTAAGGGAACATTTTAAAAAAATGTACCTATAGGTACAAAAATGTTCTTCTCTCATACCTCTATTTCTGAGAGTGCACGAGCAAACTTCAGCCAGAACCTGCAATACAAACCCATCAGTTATCCTGCACTGGTGCAGGAAAGTGAAGCCAAGGATTCAATCCCAAAAACTGTGATTCCTTCAGTGTCTTCTGGAAGCTGGCTCCAAAAGCAAGTCAGCATCCAGTCTGGTAATAGAAATGGTTCTAATCTTTACAGTTTCTCAGATTGTAGTTTCTCAGGCAGCTTGTTAACATAACCAGCCCTTCACCTTCTTACCAGAATCATACAGTCTAAAACCTGCACGCCTCATCTGGGTAATGAAAGATGAAGTCATTGTGGAAGGACCTAGAACCTCCATTCCCTCTATCAGTGATTTAAAAAAGACCTCTGTGTCTATGAGAAAGTCTATTTTATGAATTTGGGTCATACTTTGCCTAAGAAAAGGAGTATGCTCACTGGCTGACATGCAAGCTGTTTCACAGTCATAGCCGTCCTCTTGTCACTGTGGGTTTTTTTTTAAAAAATCCAAGATAGCAACAGTGACAACATTTGTCTTAAACACTCGTGATCAGACTTCATCAACCAATCATGGTAGTCTTCAGCATCTTTTAAATTGTCTGTGGTCCAAGTATGGTCACTTCTGGCTCTCCTCAGTGTCACCTCACCTCTTCATTTGTGTGCAGGACGGCCAGTAGCTGGTCCTGCGGGGAGAGCAGAGCGCCTTCTTTCTGCAGAGAGAGACAAGGCAGGAGGCCACATTTCTGGTAGTAACGCTGAGCTGCCTGCTCACACAGCCACGACACAGAGCAGGAGTTGGCCTCACTGGGATGCAGAGCAATGACCGGCGATTAAACAGAAATTAAAAACAAAACAACAACAAAAAAACACTATACCAATCAGATTGGGATTTATTTTTATATACTGCTCAAACTTAAAAGTTTTCACCGACCTTTGTGGAACTGGGATCAGGAAGACGTCTTCCTGAACCCGGACCCTCATTCTGATTGGTGGAGGAAGTGACGTGGGCATAGGAGCAACCAAAGTTTGAGTTGGAGGCTAGAGTAAACAAAATAAAACATTCAAGCACTGTTAAAACATCTGTATTTAATGTCGTCAACTCTTTGTAGAAAGACAAAGCAGAGTCTGTACTAGAGAAATCAGGAGACCTGACGAGGGCAGTATTACGCCTTTTATACCTCCAGCCTACCGTAAATTCAGTAGAAGAAGAATAGCAGCAATGGCGCCATTGAGAGATCCCATCGCGATCCTGAATTAAGTTTGAAGATGTTGGTTTGGCCGTGTCGGTTGTTGTTGCAATAATGTCTTCAGTTCAGAATCTTAGAGAGTTTATCAAGGAGAGATTAACTTCTGCTGTAGAAGAAATCTTCTCAGAGTTTGAAAAAACGATCGTCCGGTATGAGGAAGAGATCCGTCAGCTAAGACTGCTTGATATCAGACCCGGGATAAAGTCACACAATACAGGTGTGGAGGTGTGAGGGTTGCGGGATCATCGTGTGATTCACGTGGGCATGATCTAAATGCATTGAACTAGTAATACACCACAGTAAAGTGTATGAAGTTATATCTGTGCAGTGTTGAGAAGGTTACTTTTAAAATGTTTTCCACGAAAGATTACAGAATACATGGCCCAAATGGAGTTTGTAACTATTCCATTAAGTTACTCAATGTGAATAACGTATTCTGAATACTTTGGTCCAGATTACTTTATTACTTTATTACTTGCTTGTTACAACTACTTGAATGTACTATTGCTGTGTGAATTATTGCTATAACTGAAGGCTACTAGCCACCGAGCTAACATTGTTAGCTGGCTTTAGCTAAAGTTATTTCATAGACTAAAGACTGTTAGACTTGATTCATAGCATTAACATCCTGCTAGCTACAAACAATCATGTGCAGTTCTGAAAGCAATCTCAAGTAAATTTTTAAATCGTGATGTAAAATGAGTAACAGTAGGGTGGACATTAGGCAAGGCTGCAGTTTTTGCAGCGATCTCGTATAGAACACAATTTCTGTATCAGTAATAGGTTTTCTTTCTGTTTGCTTTCAGAACTGCACATAATTATTTGCAAGTAGCAGGTTGTAATGCAGCCTTCAGTAATAGTAATGAGTCACACAGCAATAGTACATCGAAGATTCTGAAGTGAGACATAACCTAGATAGCTACATAAACTAATACAAGGTAGTTGTAGTAGGCTTACGTTAGGGCTGTACAATCAATAAAGATGAGGCAGAACCTGGTAGCTCCAAACAGAAGGACCAGTCAAAACAAATTGAGGATGTTATTCCTAAATGAGGGGCTCCCCCTGTTGCATGGACATGGTTTGGTTATGAAAAGTCTGACACGGATCAGAAAACTGTACTATGGAAATTATGCCCAGACTGGTTCCCACCACGGACTCAAACACGACAAACCTCTTCGACCACCTACGCATGAATCATGTGAAAGTTTGTGGAGAGAGTTTATAGATGAGAAGCAAAAAAGAGCCATCAGGTGCTCAAAATAAACCTTAGACTCATACGTTAGAACAGGCTTTTCCCCCACGTGTAATAAATACTCAGAAAGAAAATGGCGGCCGTTACAACATATATCTAAAAATATATAGTGCATTGGTCAAAATACTCGACTCCAGGTACACGACACCCAGCTGAAAACACTTCATGAAAGTCAAGTTGCCCGATATTCACAGAATTTACAGAAAAAGCACTATTTTGTCATATATATCATTATCGGGACGAGAAACGTCTTATATTGGGATATGAGATTTTGGTCATGTCGCACAGCCCTAGCTAATGTTAGTCTTTAAAAAAAGAATGTACTTCCAGATGTTTCTTTCGGGTGGAGTCTTTATAGTTGAGAGCAGCTCGGTTTCTGGGTCCATTGTATAACTGACACCACCAACATTACCAAGACACTTACACTAGAGCTTCTTGTTGCGTGTTTTGTTTGGGTTTCCGGTAATGCGTGAAATCAACAAAATTAGAGAGGGTATAGCCTGACATATGAAACAGGAAAAGACCATCGTGTAATCCATTTATTTAGAAGTAACTGTATTCTAATTATTACCAAATTATCGGTAACTATCGGCAGCACGGTGGTTAGCACTGTTGCCTCACAGCAAGAAAGTCCTGAGTTCAATTCCACCATCAGGCCGGGGTCTTTCTGTGTGGAGTTTGCATGTTCTCCCCGTGTTTGCGTGGGTTCTCTCCGGGTACTCCGGCTTCCTCCCACCGTCCAAAGACATGCAGCTTGTGGGGATAGGTTAATTGGATAATCCAAATTGCCACTAGGTGTGAATGTGAGTGTGAATGGTTGTCTGTCTCTATGTGTTAGCCCTGCGACAGACTGGCGACCTGTCCAGGGTGTACCCCACCTTTCGCCCTATAACAGCTGGGATAGGCTCCAGCGCCCCCCGCGACCCTGAAAAGGATAAGCGAATGGATGGATGGATATCGGAATACAGTTACTCATGTTTTGTATTTTAAATGCAT